CGAAGATCTTTTGTACAGGGACTACCAGCTTCACTACAAATTTATAATTTTTACCTGTGCTCCTACTGAAGTTTCTATTACTTCATCGGGATTGAAGAAAGGTAATCTATTTTCTAGATAATGTTAACACCCAATTGAAAAATAAGAATATCTCAACATATCGTAAACATTAATACAAACTCAATTATTTTGGAAACTATTGCATTTGATGAACCTGCTACGCAATCAAAAACTATTCTTAGCTTTATAATTCCTAATCAAAGATCTCCAAAATTGAAAGTTTAATTTTACATGATTATGTTGGTATTAACGGTCCATGTTTATTATTTTGAGTGAATTTGCATTTGATTAGTAATTTAATGTTTTTGGTTTCAACAAATGGGAATGATGTGATTTATAATATTTTTGAAATTTGGCATGGTAGATCGCCTATGTGTTATGTGATAATCACCTAAATTTACCTATTATAAAATAATAATTTTAATATCATTTAATATACTTTTATTAACATGGTATATGTTGATACAATGGGAGATAAATTTGTGTGTGTGAAAGTTGAAATCAAAGCTTCGTACTCCAAGTTGTCGTTGAACGTGATTGTTATGAGGGAAAGAATAATGTATGAAGAGTATGTGAAAAATTCACAAACATTACGATATAAATATGTTTAAATTTTGTTTTTATTATTAATTTTAATTAGTATGCCATATGCAATCACATCGCATGTTGAACTAAGACATCACCTCATAGCGCAAATAAAATAATATGTGATTGTAAAGATCGTCTAATATAGATTACTCACAAATAAGCGATTTGGATTAGTGAATAGTAGATTTCAAATATGCTTCAAGCATTCGCCCCTACTTAAGCAAGTCAAATCGTTTGAAAACTACGATATTTTTCGAACAATATGTATCTGTAAATAAATATTTTATACTACAAAGTCAATGACATTTCATATGAACAACCCTATATCTTTCTTATTTCACAACCTTTAATTGATTAGAAAAATATAATTTTTCTACAAAAATATTATTTAAGCATGTTGATATCACAATCTCTAAAATATTTTAAAAAATAGATTACAAGACAATGCGATATTAAGTAATTTAAGAAATACAATAGGCGATAAACATTATAAACAACATGAACAACCTCATCATTTTTACTCCAAAAATTTTAAATTATTAAACAAACTTAAGTTTTCTAAAGAATATTGTTTAAGCATATAGATATCACAATCTCCGAATATTTTTCTCGGAGGTTTCTCAATTTTAAAATCATCATATTGAAAACATGATCGATCTTCAAATATATCAGAGGCACCCTCAAAATATTGTAGTTAATTAATGCTAATTTGTTATAAAATAATAAAAGAAGAAAAAAGAGTATTGCAGAGAAAAGTAGGTAGAGAGAATTCTTATTGATTTGAGATGAACTACAATGGAATAGAACCCTCTATTTATAGGGAGAGGGTGACTTAGCCACCAAGTAATAAACCCTAGAATCTCTCTAAATATAGACATTCACCATAAATAAAATTCTATTTATAACACTCCCCCTTGAATGTCTATTCAACAGATAATGTGCCTCTTTAAAACCTTAACTAAAATAAAATCCAGTGGGAAAAAAAATCTAGAGAAGGAAAAAGAGTACACATATCTACAATACGCCTTTTGGTTGCCTCATTAAAAACCTTGCAAGGAAAACCCATTGAGACAAAACCTTGTAAGGGAAAAAGAGTACAACGCGTATTAACTCCCCCTGATGAGAGCATCAATTCACATGCTTGAGTCTTCGCATTCCAATCTTGTGCATTGGCTTCTCGAAGGTTGACTTCGGCAGAGATTTGATGAATAAAATAGTCATATTAACTCCAATGAATATGTACCTTGAAAATCCTCGCCATCACATTATCATGCTTATAGTTATAGCAAGATACATATGTGCACAAATTACACTTATCATATGGTACTTCAAGACCAAGAATCGTATATGCTTCAAGCGATTTAAATTCTTCAAGGAGTGTCATATAAGTCATATAATAGACTTTAGATGCATATCAAGTTTTCATGTCATGCTAGACATATAAGATATCGAAAACTGATTGCACATGCCATTAACTTTATACTTTCAAGTGTTCGAACTACATGTCCAAAACTACATGTCTTTCATATGAAACCAATTCCATTTAAATTGTGTCTCTTCTATTTGGCCAATATTTTTGTGTCTATATTCGACAAACTTAAGATCCTCATCTATACTTAGCGCTATCATAGATGTCGTCGACGAACATTTTATATCGGTTCCAATATTTTTTTCATAAAGACATGACATAGAGATCTCGTCATTCATATTTTCAGGTACCTGAATCTCTCATGAGATTTTATGAAGTGTTATGTCATGTGATCTTCTAGATCACTTGCCTTCTTATTATGATCGTTTTGATCATTTGCTCATCTTCTTTGTCTGTACGCTTTAAGTGTACCATAGACTTTGTCCTTCTAGGACTTAATAGGAGCACTTGCAATGAGAATATAGTTACTTCTTTGAGTCAGCAAATGCGTCTGGCATGTTTTGCAATATATTGCAAATGAATTATCCTTTTATGAACTTCAAGTTCATATTATTTTATTCGAGGATCTAGATGTACATATGATAACTCATTCCACGTAACTTTTTCTCAATTGTTTATCATATCTCCACCTCATGTTAGAAAAACTAAGTTGTTTTCCTCAACTTTGAGAACCCATCTTTGTGCGTTATGGTATTAATCAAAATATACCCCGCACATCAATAATACTAAGATGGAATTATTTGGTTCATGACCCGGAACCACTTGTGAGGGGAGAATGTAATATACTTTCGTATATAACGTATATCAAACTGATATACATAACTTTGTGCTCATAAGCAATATTTTAGCTATTAAGTGGAGGCACTCAATAGTTATTTTGCTAAACCAGTTGTGATGTAAACCAACCTATCAAGATAAACCATCTTGAATAGAAAATCTGGATATTGTGCTCTAAATCAAATTATTGAGCAGTTACCTCGCAAACACCAGGCTGTAGGTTAATAATAATCGCACATGTAACCATCTCATAGATGCATTTTATGTGGTATACATGGCAGGTGAACGGGCCTATATTCACTTTTGATATTTTCAACATTCATAGGATTCAATCCCAATTTTAGTTGGTCTATTAATTAATAAGAACAAGCAATGTAAGAGAATTCGTAAAGAACTTTCTAGTTCTTTAATATTTACCCATGTTAATTCTCTTTTATTTTTTGCACATCATACTTAAATTATCATGGCTAAACCAATTATGCCAACTGAATAAATTATCAATATTGATAAAGTTCAGGTTTACACAATGACGTGTGCAATTATCGATAAACTCCAAGTTTATTATGATATGTGTTTTTATATTAATAAACATCCACTTTATTGTGGCATTCTTTTATTTATGTAGTACAAATTGGAGACTAAAGCGGGTAGATTTTTACATAAAATATTACCTGCTACAAGTTGTAGTAATAGAAGATATTAAATCTTTCTTTTATTTATAGTCTCACTATAATCAACCACTTTCGCGTATACTTTGGAAACTGAATAAGTTTCTTAGAGACTTACACAACACAATACCTTATTGGTAATCAATTGTGTTTCTCCAAATAGTATAATTGGCTCTTGCAGAGTTCTTAATTAATTTTGTAGTACCACATATTCATCAACATTCATATGGTGAATATCTCTTTTAAAGAGAAATTTATACCATTATGGTTATGGTCAAAATTATATGCAAGATCTGTTTCCTGCATTACCATTGTCTTTTAATAATCACAATGCCAAAATATTTTGGCGTTGTGATAAGTACGTGACCAATGACCATTTATGCCATAATAATGACATTGTTTTCTTATTTCCTCTCAAACCTCTTTCTAGAGGTGAGTGTGGTATATACCACTAGCACGTTCATATTCTTCCAAAATGAATATGTATTCTTAAATCAGATGTTGTCACATTCATATCATGAATGGACCATAATCATCTATATGTGCTTTATAAAATCGCATGTCAAATCGATGACAAATATTATTTTCACAAAGTGAAAGATTATTTTGATAATCCTTATTATTCTCATTATCACAATGATGGCGACTATAATTTCGTCTATTGCCACGTCCACATCCATTGATACCTTCATAGTAATAATTTTGTCGTCTTTCAAACTTATCACATATTGCTATCATATTCTCTTAAGGGAATGAGAATGAAGCAAATATGGGACGAGTTTTCACTTCTTTGTCCACAATCATACATGAATTTGATCATGGCAAGGCATAAATTTTTTTACCAATTTGGGTGGTTATAATTTCTTACTAACTCCATTAGAGTTATAATCAAATTTTATTTTCTTTGCTTGTATTTAAAATCAAATTATAGAATAAAAGAGAAAAATACAGTAAAATACATACCTTAAATCCAGAATTTAATCACGAAGGAAGTTCATGGAACAATTGTCAATCATCATGCTCAATCCCAAAGCTTCTACTCAATTGGTTAGAATCTCGTGCTAATAACGTGTTATGAAATAATGAAAGAAGAAAGAAGAGTATTGAAGAGAAAAGTAGGGAGAGAGAATTCTTATTGATTTGGGATGAACTACAATGGAATAGAACCTCTATTTATAGAGAGATGATGACTTAGCCACCAAATAATAAACTCTAGAATCTCTCTAAGTATAGACATTCACCATAAATAAAATTTTATTTATAATGTAATTTGTATATTAATAAACTTATGCTGATATATTTTTTGTGGGTAGGAGCTCTTCTAAAACCCAAACCAAAAGACCCCTATAATTCAAGGAAGTTCAAGTGAACCAGTAGAAATTCAGCATTAGATCTGACACTCCTAAGCCACAACTTCAGATACGCTCATCAACACGTGTAGAGGCTCGAACCATACAAATTAACCCACTCGCTCGAGCACACCTGGGCCCACGCGCGCCATCACTCGAAACACAACCATAGACTTCCTCTGCACACACAACACACAAACTCTCTCTCTCTCCTCTCTATTATGTGAAATCTCTGGCGTAGGTCTTCTGTGATCTCTGGCGTACGTCCTCTGCAAATTTTAATTTTCTTTTAGACTCGGTTTTTGGGGGTTGAGATGCATAACCTGATCCAGTGAAGAAAAATCGGCCATGTTTGGGCTAAATTTGAAGCGCTTTGGAGTAGATTACTATTGTCGGTTTTGCAGCTATGTTTGATTGGAACGACGAAGAGGTGCGTTTAAGTTTCTTCAGCTTGAATGTAGTGAGTGTAGTACTACTATTATTTTAATATATTCAACTTATTTTTCACTTTTATTGTTATTTGGTATGATGATGACATGAGTTCGAGCTTAAATGGAGAAACATGGTTAATGAGTATTCATGTAGCCGACGCCAACTTGTTTGGGACCGAGGCATAGTTGTTGTTTTCTTTAGTGGCATGGGATAAAGGTAAAGCTAAGGAGAAGATGAATGAGAATTGAACCGTGCACCTCAAAACGGTGCAACGTAAGAACTGCTACCACTGTCCACTAGGCTTGCACTTGAAGCTATCACCAGTAGGCTCGCATTCGATCTTTATTCAGTTATTATTTTTAATTGAATTATCACAGCCATTAGTTTAAAAAAAAAATTGAATAACAGTTTCCTGGGTTTTCTTTCTTTCCTACTTTTGTAATTCTGTTAGATATGTATATGTTAAATTGAGAGTGCCGAGAAGTAAGCTGTTTTTAGCTGTTCAACATCCATTTCCTTAGGTGAAATCATAGCTTCAAAAGAGCTTGTTTGATGTTGCAGGACTAACCAAATCAGTGAGATAACTTGGAGGACTGAGTTGGATTGAGTGGTAAATATAAGGATACATTAGAGCCAGTTTGGCCTGGTTTTTGGATGACGGGAATGTGCATTTATCATCATTAAGGGATTAATACCAATTTGTCTATTCAACATTACCTGTAGAATTCTCAAACCTCTTTTTCCATTGGAGCTGAATCTAAGATTGGTCTCCCTCCATGAGGCACTATGAGAGGTGGATATTGTCTCAATCAGCTCCTTCTTTAGTTTATTCTTATAGATGCTTCCCACCAGACTAATAGGCTTGTAATCTATGATACTTGTCCCCACTCCCCTTTTGGGATAATAGTTATGCAGGATGTGTTGAAACTTCTTTCAAACTTGTCAGTATCTTGAAAACTCCGACACTGTTAAAAGAAACCCAAGGTGAATCTTCAGTCCAGGAGCCTTGTCTCCCCCATAACGCTCCGCCTCCTCCCTCACCTCCTTTTCTCTATAAATCCTCTCCAACCACTCCCTCTTTTCTTCTCCTATTTGATTGAAAACCGCCCAGCCCTAGCTTGGGTCTCCAAATCGCTTCCTCTCTATATAACCGTTCATAAAACCTCATGTTATCTCATCCTCACGTAGAATAGACTCTATATAAAAAAATTTGTTGTTTCATCAATAAAATTACAACACATTGATGGTGTGCTTTCCTGTTTCACCATTAGTTGGGTTATAATATATGACATCATTCTTTGGTAGAAACCCTTTCTTTTCAGTCCAATGTCAGAAAGCAAGCACTCACTCTGCTTAATGCATGCGGGGAATTATGCTAGTTCAGCTCCACCAATGCTGACTTGCTTTTCTGTTTTGCTACTATGCCTTCTCCAGATTTTGAGATTTGATGGTATACTAAAGCTGGTCTCTATGTGAATTATAATATAATTATATTATTTTCACTTTTGCCTTGCCTTGATGATTAAGTTAGTATTTGCTTCACATCACTGATTGAGAAGACAAGTAGCAGGCGAGATCACAAAATTTCCGTAGTGTTGACTACTGAAGTGTTTTTCCTCTCCTTTTCTGCATCACTCACCTACATATATAAACACGTGTCTACTAATATGCATTTCTCTATGACTTTAGGCGCTGTACATTTTACTTTCAAGTTATTATACTTGCATTTACTTCTGACACATTTCTTACTTGAATCAGCTAACGGATATAATATGGAGTGATACTGGTCAGAGCGATGACCACACAGTGCCATATCCTGACGGAAGTGAAGAGGAAGCACCAGCTTATAAAGATAACATTAAGAAGGAATGGGATGTGGAAGCTTCTAGTTTCAAGCCTACTGATCAGAAGAAACCTACAACTAAAACTGATCTGAGTGATATTAAACTAGACGGCAGTTCCAAACATGACACTGGCGGAGCTACTATCACAGCTGGATACAGGGGGGAATCAAGCTCTGATTTGTCATTGACCAATGCTACAAAAAGTAATCAAGATTCTTTGGGTGCTAAAGCATCTAATAATCTGACAGAAGTTTCAAAAAAGGAATGTTTTAGAGGTGCTAATGCTAATGTTTCTAGTCCTTTGCAGGAAATAAATAACCTTCAGTCATAGTTAAAAATTGGATTTCTTGCTAATAAAAAAAAAGAAACAAAAGTTAAATGTTGGATTTAACTGATCATCTTTCTGACCAGATGAGAGAAATCGGCTTCATGATGATTCTCGAGTTTTTCACCATCAGAGTGAGGGCTTGGAGCAAGGTGATTTGATTGATTATGGCTGGGCTAACATCGGAAGTTTTGATGACCTTGATAAGATATTTAGGTAATGCTGACATTACCTTTCTTTCTCTGTTCTTTCTGACTTGTGTATTGCTGTGAAATATATAGGCTTGTATGTGTCACTTTTTGTAATGTAGTTGTTTCGGCATCCCGTCATTTCCTTTGATCATTCACAATTTTAAAGCAGAGTCTGGGGACAAAACTTTGTGTTTTTGAGGCAACATGGAAAATTTTGCTTATGAACTGCAAAGTTATTTGATGAAAATAATATTTTATTGATATGATACGATTTTCAAGCTATATCTATACAAAATTCGAGAAAGTTATACAATGTACAAGCTGTAGAAATTATAAGGTAATCCCAACTGTCTGTCCCTCTAAATTGGCATTTAATTACTCTTGGAAAATCACTAACATGCAATTGGGCTGTCCGTAGAAACAGCTAACCTTTAATTTCTCAGCATTTGAATGTATACAAACAATTTTTATTAAAAAATTAATTATATAAATTCAAAATAAAATACTAATTAATCTAATATATATAAATAAATATTTTTTTTTAAAAATATATAGTGATTGATGGTGGTGAGGCCGAACACTGATAGTTGGGTGCCAACTGGGGTAGTGATTGGCGGTAGTGTTGGCTGATGGTGGTGATTGCGGGAAGTAGTTAGTGGTGATGTTGGATGGTAGTAGTTAACATTGGTTGTTGATGGAGGTGGTGACTAGTAACGGTGAATAATGATATATAATAGAGGCTGATGGTGATAATGGTCAGTAGTAATGGGTGGTTGTTGTGGTAATGGTGGTTGGTGATGATGGTAGTAAATAGTGATTAATGGTGCAGACACCTGACATTGGTGATTTACAACGGTGGTGGCTGTGACTGATGATGGTTGTTGTGAGTGGTGGTGGTGGGTGGTGTAGTCTATAATAGTGAGCGGTGGCGGTGGCGGTGGCGGTGGCAGTAGGTGATAATGGTGGTAGCGGCAACAGTGGTGGTTAGCTATGAAAGTGTATGGAGTAATGGTGAAATGTCATCTTTGCATAAATTTTTGAATATACAACATCTTAATGATATTAAGATTTTGTTATAAATCTTAATCATTATGATCTATTAAGACCCATAAGTGACTGTAAAATGAAAAAAATAACTTAATGGCTAAGATCAAAATAATTAATATTCAAATCTAAAATACAAACACACTTAATGACTGAAATCTAAATGGTTAAAGTTCAAACCTCTATTAAGTGCAAACAAATGAGGCCTAAACCTTGTCTCACCCAGATAGGTCTCCATTCCTCCTTTTCTTTGTACAATTGGGAAAAAACCTACTATTGCCTCCTTTTCTCCTTCCGATCCCTCCTATACAAATTCACCCACTTCTATGGTCTCCACTAAATTATTGCATGAACTGTACTGTGTGTGCTAGATAGGAATATATCTTAAAGTATTGTGTGTTATGCAGTTTTCAGTAACAAAGCATGCTAGATAGGAGTTTATCTTAAAATTTTGTCTGTTATGCGACATAGTTATATATATCTTCGATGGAGTTTAGATCATCCGTGGTTATATTCATCTGACTCAATATCCTAACAACTGATATTTTGCAGCAACAGCGACCCAATATTTGGAGATACAAGCCTTCCTAACACTCACGATCTATGGTCATCTAGTAAAGATGTGACAAGCAGTTCAGATAAGTCTGTTCCCCTATCTATTGACTCTCTGAGTTTGGCGCTAGGATCTACGCGAAGCCCATCAGAAAGATTAGAAGTTAAAGCAGAATACAGGCTAGATCAGGAGAAGTCTTCCACTGGTGATGAAGAGAATGCTAGTGATATCACATCTAATGTGCATCTGTCTACTGATGCTAGGGACCATGGTGGAGGCAAAAATGTGCTTTTACAGAATGAAAAGGTAATGGTACCGGATCTAAAACTATCTCATACCAATTGTATTTTCTTCAGTATGTAAACGAATGTATCTCTTGTTCAATAATTTTTTAAAGCTAAAAGGATACATATTGTAGCTTGAACAGACAACTTCGCAGATGGGAGGATAGGGTCTACCATTTAAATGCTGGAACTATCACAGTCCCTGCTAGATCTTAGAAGAATTAGTTTTTAGTGTTCCCTAGCTCACCAGTGAGAACTAATCCACAATAACTCACTTATTACATAGGGATGATCTTTCATTTTCACTCCTTCCACTTCTTGTTGGGTAAGTAATATGAAGGTAGTATGAAAAGAAGTTTAGATAGAAAACTGGATTTAGGTCTTCAAAGAAGATTTAGGCAAGAGATGCATGATAATTATTTGTCTCATGGTGCTAGTTAATTGTGCACTGTGACTGTATTGATTGGTATTTGTTCATAGGAAGTAACAAGATTTCTACCTTGATAAGAATAGACCTTGGGGCTAACTCAACCCCAAAAGCTAGCTTGTGAGGTGAGGATTGCCCAAAGACCATATAAGGAGACCAAGATACCCATAACCCAACGATGTGGGACACAACTCAACACCCCCCCTCACGCCCAGGCCTGCAACTGGAGCGTGGACAATATAAATGGGTGCCCAACATCGGTAACAATTAATTGGGATGGGTCTGGCTCTGATACCATGATAAGAATGGACCTTGGGCCTAACTCAACCCCAAAAGCTAGCTTGTGAGGTGAGGATTGCCCAAAACCATATAAGGAGACCAAGATACCCATAACCCACCGATGTGGGACACAACTCAACATACCTAAGCTGGACTGAAGCCTAACATCACATATACAATGACAACAACAACAACTAGGCCTCAGTCCCTAACCTCACATGTAATCGATGATATATTGTTCTTCGGATATTCTAGCAGAGAAGAGTCTGTAGGAGAGATGTCATAATCGCTTGTAGTATTAGGTCATCCCCTCTTGCTGCCAATGTTTTTCCCTCATACCACTGGTATATATGTGCTTATCTGTATGCAGGGGCGGATTTACCCTTCGCCGAAAAATTACACTGTATATATAAGGCAAAATCTGTTTTTTACCTCTATATATTAAGTTTTGAACACCCTTATCACAATCCAAAAGTGTAGTTTAGTGGTCAAGGGGGTTCAAAATTTACATAAGGTTATGGGTTCAATTCCCACTAGCTACAAAAAAAAAAATTTTGAACCCCCTTCGTGAAGATCCTGGCTCCGCCACTGTCTGTATGCATTTCACAATTGCTAAGCAGGTTAAGGAAGATATGAGGATAAATTAAGACAGACGTTCTTCTTTGACATCTGTTATCTTTTCTTTCACAAAATTTTCTCTGCAGAGATTGGTGGAGCCAGAAATAGGTTTCAAAATTTACTGAGAAAAAAAGAGGGTCTATGACAAGCTATCTTGCTTAACTGATTTCCACGTTATTCAATTTTCCTCAGACATCAAAATAGAAGTTTCTCATCCATCGAGTTCTTTCATATCCAGTTAAGAGAAAAAGAGAATCTCTAATTTTCGATCTAATTGGCAAAGCCTACTTCATATAGCTGGTGAAATCATCTGTATAGTTTCTTCAGATCGTTAAATAACTTTTAGTAAGAGAAGTTGTGAAGCAAAGATTAAGAGTTTCATGGATAAAATAGCTCCAAGATGCAAACCTTATATTTCTGCAAAAGAACAATAAGACATCTTGCGGAGATGGTTGTTTCTGGGTTGCTCTATGTAACATTTTGTACCATCTTCGTACTTATTAATAAAACTTTTACCTTATAAAAAAGATAAGACATCTTGCGGAAGAAAAGTCCGTTATTGACTTTGTGATGATTATGACCACATATATTTAAGACAATGCCGCACATTGCCCTCTCTCTCACCTGCCATTTTTCTTTTTTCTTCCTTTGTTTACTGTAAAATTTGTTGAACATTTGATTCCTCCAATCCACAATTTGGTGAGTTATTTTTTGATCTTTTGTTAATTAACGCATAACATGTGTCCAACTTTGTAAAATTATTATATAAATGGGAAAGAGAATACGTGTAGTGGACCCAGATTGTTACAGGGACGTGGTTGTACTTAAAATCATGGATTTCAGGAATAATGAGAGCTTCCTATGCAGTTGTTCTGTATTTCCTCCTTTTTCCTGTTTCCTTTTTCCTTATTTTTAGTTTATATAGCTAGCATTTTCAAATGGCTCTACAAGCTCTTCTTTTTATGTGGTAAATAAGAGGGTGTTTGGCTAAGCTTATAAGCTGGTCAAACTAGCTTATAAGCACTTTTCGGCTTATCTACGTGTTTGGTAAAGTTAAAAGTGCTTATAAGTCAAAAATAGCCAAAAGTCATAAGCTGGTCACCCCCAGCTTATGAATTTTTAGCTTATAAGCACTTTAAGTTTGACCAAGATTTTTACTATTTTATCTTTAAAATATTCCTTTTTAGAACAAAACTCCTACATCGATTGACTATTTAACCTAACACCCCGGCTTCTTCAAGTTTGCAATTCTCATTGACTATTTAAGACAAGCAAATTCTCTATTCCTTTGCATATTTGTATCTATGTAATTGTGTATTAATTTTTGAACTGTATGTAATAAATGAGGACATATCAAATTTTTGGTGTATTGCTTTCTAAGTGTTGCGGTGATGAAGACAATGTTTGTTTCTCTTCGAATATTTGTTCTCTTTAGGTTTATTTTTTATTGAGAAACTTTTGTCAATTTATTAATTATTATAACTTATGCTTATATGCTTATCATAAAATAAATTATCTTACTTAAGCACAGTTGTATTTAAAATAAAATGACAAACAGAATATTTTGTATTTGAATCGATCCGGAATCTAAAATTTTGAAGAAATTACGCCTTTATAAGTGTAAACAGTTCTAAGGTTATTTAAGTCATTTTAACTGAAAAAGGGGTTATTAGCACTTTTTTATCAAATACTGCAGCAACTTATTATCAATTCCAAACACGTAACTGCTCATTTATTAAATCAGTTTCAGCACTTAAAAGTGCTTTTCAGCACCTAATGCTTATCAGCTACTTCGAATCAGCTAATCCAAACGGGCTCTAATTTTTTTTCTGATAATATTTTTTTTGGAGAGACATAGTCAATGACGATTCATATAGTTGACTTCAACATGTTTGGGACAGAGGCATAGTAGTTCTTGTGGGAAAATCTCCCATATACAAGCAATATACCAAAAGTAGAGAATCTACAACATAATATAATTCTCTATGAAGGACACCCAATATTCTATACATACTGGAACCTCATTGGCGTATCCAAAAAAAAAAAAAAAAAAAAACTAGAAATTAGAGGCTATTCCAGTATTCGGAAGTGTACATGACTATTCTCTATCCCATCAAAAGCTCTCCTATTTCTTTCCTTCCACAGGACCCAAATAATTAATATCGGCGCAACATCCCAGGCTCTTCGACCTCTCTTCTTCTTAGTTTCTAGCTGGAAAGTGCTTTTGTCACTGTGCACATGGTTTTACAAGCTTTATCACAGTTTTTCTTCAACTCTCTTTCGTTAGGTGGTCGGCATTGTGAATATGGGAAGTAAATCAAAATGCTATTAGTGGTGCTTCATGTTGCAAATGTTCAAGTGGAAACTCACTTGTGGTGTGAGTTTTTGAGATGGTTCGGGATGCAATGGCGATGTGAAAATAGTGAAGGAAGCACTATCCAGCTTGGAATTTCAAAAGAAGGAAGAGACATCAAGGAGCTTGGAGGTTGCCCCACTAAGCACTCATGTGGTTCCAGTGGTAGGAAAGCAATAGGAGAGCTTTTGATGGCATAGAGTATGACTATGTACGTTTGAGGAATAGCCTCTCATTCCTAGTTTCTTTTTGGTGAACCCATGTGGTTTCAGTATATATAGAAGGTTGAGTGTCGTTTGTTGAGAATCATATTATGCTGTAGATCCTTTACCTTTAGGTATACTGCTTGTGCACGGGAGATTTTCCCATTATTTACCTTATAAGAAAATCATATCTTCATACTTTTTCTACAAAGGAAAAGTTTGCTGCTGATAAATCTTGGACATAAAGTAAATCCAGAGGATAATCAACTGGAAACTTATTTTGCTTCGGTGAAATTGTGGAATTATTCTTGGATATCATTGTAATCACTCACTAAGGCTCCACCTTGAAAACTGTGAAGTAATTGGGAATAACTCTACTTACGTCAGCATGGATTGTCATCCCTCAAGGAAAGGTGGACAAAGAAAAATAACTCCCCCTGCACTTGCATGCGAAACTAAATTTGAGTATGCTGATTTGAGTGAGTGTCATATATTTATTGTGTTTTTTGTTTTTGAACATCAAAGTGTTGTTCTAGTTGTTTTCGTGTGTACAGGGAAATAAGCAGGAAAGAATATTGAAGGGTCGATTTAAATTAGAACAAGAAGGTGAACTTGCTCAGTTGCAGGAATTATGCGGATCTTTGTCTCCTCAAGTGAACAAGTTTGGCATGCCATATGTAAGGAATCAACCTTATCTCGCTTCAGAGTTCAGTCAACAGAGCCAGCTTCAAGGACCAGAATGTTTGCAGCACAAACATTTCCCAGGTCCACTTTTTGCTTCTTCTACCTATGGGGATATGGGGAATCGCTATTCTCCCATGCCTGTCTGGTCACAGGTCCATTCTGGACAAGCAAGCCATCAGCGCGTCCTTTCAAGTTATAAAGCTTCTCCAGGCAATTCAAATCATTTCAGCAAGTCTCTAGATGCTTCGTCAAAACCTTTGATGATGACACCTCAGGAAAAAATTGAAAAACTGAGAAGGCGACAGCAATTGAGAGCAATGCTTGCCATTCAGAAACAGCAGCAGCAGTTTAGCTATCAAATGTTATCCCCTGAACAATCTGCGAAGCAAGGAGGATCTGTTGAAGAGAATTTGAGCTGCATCCCTTCTCTTGACCCGACCTCACCTTTGGAACAGGGTGACTCCAACACCGTTTGTTTGGCAGTTGAAGAATCATCAGTGGAAGACACGGCACTATATCTTCTTCGGGATGTTATCTCAAAGGTTCGTGCTCGCACTGCCACCAAATAAGTTTCATGGTATTATTTCTTCTCCACAGAATCTTAATGGTCAAATGGATGGTTCCTTTCAGTTGGACCTCCAAATAAGACTTTGTATCAGAGATAGCTTGTTCCGACTGGCTCAAAGTGCTACACAGAGGCAATGTGGCAATGATAGTTGCAGCTCCAAGAAGGCTGGAAGAGAAGTCAGCATCGATGAAATAAACACCAATAACAGGTTTGTACCTAAGTATTAACACTCTCTCACAATTGACATATGGTTCTTGTTCGCCAGAAGCAATCTAGCAATCTCATTCCAGTGGCTCTCTGTTCTAAGAAAAACAAGAGCCTGCATGTAAAAAGCTTTCATAATATGACCTGCATCACAAAAATCTTCATTGATATATTCATAGATGTTCCTAGCCATGAGATTTGAGGGGTTTGCTCTTAATGTCAAGCCTTCATGCTTCTTGCTTTGCAAAAGGAATGCACAAATATGTCTGTTTTTAAAAGAAGTGTATGTAATAATGGTATGTTAAAGGCCAATCATTTTTAGATTATAGCAATATCATATATTACTTTTACTAGAGGATTTTTGACTTGTACGTCATATCCAAGTTTGTATTGAATTTATCGAAATCTGGGGGGGGGGGGGGGGAGATAACTGTTGTCAAAGACTCGCTTTAGGCACGCTTAAGCCCGGAATATAGGTGCAAAGCCAGTTGAGCGCTTTCCCTCGCTTATCCAGCGCATCAGTGCAAGTACTAAGGCACTTATGTGTGCATTGCATCTAAACAATAATTATAATTTTTTCAATTCTTTTGTCCATATAATTGTTTCTAGTGTTTATAGTTAATTTTCTTGACTTATATACTTATAAAGTTTTTATTTTCTTCTACATTTGCGCCTTTCTTAATTAAAGCACGTGCTTCATTTTACGCTCTAGGTTTAAAACCCCAACAGATCTTAGATCCTTTTCTTTTTTTGACTTTAGCCTTTCATAATACTAAGAGAGATGGATAATTGCAATGTATTGATCTAACTTGCTTGTGGGCACTCAACTTGTATCTATCACAACTACTCCTTCCGTCCCAACTTATTTTGGTACTCTTTCAAGATCAAGGTGGTGACACTTATGTATTTGCAAATCAAAAAAGTTTGAGTCGGTGAAACAGCTTGTATTTGCTAATCAATAAGTTGACTCGATGTGCCAGTAAACTAAAAGAAATGAATAGTCAGGATAGTCTTGCCAGAGCAATAGCTAAAATCTTTAAACTGTATTTCATCTCCAGTAAACTGCTAGTACTTAAAGTCATTGAACTCTAACTCATTTCCAGTAAAAATCTATTGTGCTCTGCTCTTCATAGTGTTCTGAAATACTTGATATTCTTGGGTGTTCAAGGTGATTGGTTATCATAGTAAATCTTTACAGATTTCTTAACATTGATCTTTAGGTCCTTTCATACTCTTTCAAGCCTTGTGCATTCACAATTGCTTTGCACAATGATTCTGAATTCAGTTTCTGCTATATTTCTTGATAGACCTGTTGTTTCTTACTTGTTCAAGTAACCAAATTTCCTCAGATGTGGATACAGTAATATGAAGCTGATCTTTAGTACTTTTTTGAAGCAGTTCGATCAGCATTGGTGAAATTTTTCGTGTCCCTTCATGTATTCTCCTCGAAGTACAGACCTTTCACAAATGTCCTCTTTAAAAACCTCAAGATTCTATAAAATTCCTCTACAAGTTGTTTATCTGGATCATCATAGATTAACTTACCATACTGACTGAAAAACTAATACCAGATCTAGTAGGGGAAGCATAAATTATTTTCTCAACCAGCATTTTGATTTCTCCCCTTGTCTACCAGTGTGCTATTCTCTTTAGATCCCAAATTGGTGGTTGAATACATTATGGTAGTAGCATGCTTGCAGCCAAGAATTCCTATTTCTTTTAACAGGTCTTGAACAATACTTTCTAACAGAAAGAAATTCAAACTCTTTATTGAACACTCCATTCCTAGAAGATACAACAACAATAACAACATACCCAGTGTAATCCCATATAGTGGGGTCTGAGGAGGGTAGTGTGTATGTAGACCTTGCCCTTACCCTTGTGGAGGTAGAGAGACTGTTTTCAATAGACCCTCATCTCAAGAAAAGCATAAGCACAATAATAATGAAAAAGAAATACAGTAGTGTAGAAGCCATGAAAAGAAGCAGTAACAACAACAAATAAATAAGATGACTGAAGAGAAAGAAACAACACGTAGTAGTAGAAATCTAAGAATAAGAAAATACGAGAATTCGTATATGGAAAAGAAGAACTAACGGAAACAGAATTAGATGTGGTTAGAGCTTCGTGTTGGCCTGGATCAACCATCTATTTGTGCGCATATATATGATGCATAATATTTCTAATTAACTTCAATTTTGAATTTTTTTTTTATTCTCAAAAAAAAATTCAAAATTAAAGTTATTTAGAAATATTATACTTCTTTGTTAAGGTGTAAAAAAAATACGACAAGTTTAGTAGTTATTTTATTGATGTTCGGAAAGTATTCTCTCGATCTAAGAAGTATTAAGTACCTAATTCTATATTCAAACTAAAGCTGAAATTAAATTTGTATACTGCAGAATTGAACAAGAAATTGAAAAATATAACATTTACTTGATTTAGTACCACCAAATTGAAGTAGCAAAGGTGAAGGAACAACTGATATGACTTCCTCTGATCATTGAATTGTATGCAATATAAATGTTTCTTTCATCAAACAGCTTCATAATTTGGCAATTGTTGCAAAGATGCATTATCTGCTTCATCTCTGCTTTTGTAGTTCTACCGTTTGATGCATGATGAGTGGAAGACTGCATTCTTTTCCTTTAAACAAAGTTCTCTCTCCAAAATGCCGTTTTGCACTAGCAGCCTGTCTAGATCAGGTTGATTATTCAGCATCTACCCAGAATTGTACTTAAACTTGTTAAAATTTAAGCTCAAATCCCTAGTTATCCAAAGGCACGTGCATACATCACTTATAGGAACAAAGACAGTGCCATTTTCCATTTTCTGGTCTCGTGTTTGCCAATGTGGTCTTGTTTAATAGAGCTTATCGATGTCAGTAGAATTATTCATTAACTTCAGTACTTATCAGTTTCCGAGAGAGCCCATGCAACGAGGATTTAATATTCGTGGGAATGGTTTCTTCAAGATTGTGAATTGAGCTAAATCCTAGCAACAACTTACTGCTTCATGCATTTTAGAACTGTTGTCCCATACTCTCAATTACTCATCTTTATGTAAGCTTTGAATTTACATTAAATTATGATCATGGATAGCTGTGAGATTGCAGCTCTAGTATCCTTGTTCATTCATATTCATCTAGGGGAACATAGGTCGTGTCCAGGGCTTTGTGAGCATATTCTGTTTCCATTTTGTTACAGAATTGCGAGACCACCCAATGTAGAGACTCAGACGAATCCAGTAGACCGCATTGTGGCTCATCTGCTCTTCCATAATCCCTCGGAGTTGACATCAAAACTTGCTGAAATTCCGAAATCATCAATGTCTGCCATGCTCAAATGTGAAAGAAAAGCAATTGGTTCACGGAGCTTTTCGAGCAGCTTTTTACACCAGAATTCTGTAACTGATCCAATCACAGCTCACCAGGGACTAAAAACTTCTACCTCTCATAATGAAGTGGATAAACTGAACAGTAGCCCCTGCCTTGAGACTTCTGAGAATGCATCAAACAATGAAGGATCAGATGGTAGTGTTATTGGGGTTGAAGCCGCCTCATGAAACCATCCTATTGTCAAATATATACAAGGGTAATCGTTTCTCCATTTATCTTATGATTGTAACACGTGATCCATGGCTGAACAAATCCACTAGTAATGAGGATCTCCTCTTTCATTGTAAGCAACTGGATACTGAGTTACCAAGATTTGACATTTTAGGAGTCTTTATGTTGTGCCCTGGAAGAAACCTCTTTTACACTAGTGTAATGCTTTTTTTCTCTTACCTTCTGTAAGAAAACTAACTGCACAGTGGGTAAATTATGTCCACACGTGCATGCTAAGTGTCACAGGCGCGTTTTCAGTCCGCCGAAAACCAGCCTGCGCGGCAGCCAAGTCCCGCACTTGACTTCAGCCTTCACAACACTTAGCCAAAATTACAGCAACTTGGACTTAGAATATTTTTAGACAGCTTCAACGTAGTAAGTTTTTGGGACTGATTTAGGCAACGAAAAATAAGTAAAGGCAATAGAAATTTAGATGAACACAAGGCACAATATACAGGAAACTCTTTTCCCAACTTTGTATTTAACTCGAGCATACAAAGAAACTCAAACTCGAGGTACAATGCCGTATACAAGAAGATCACTCTTGACCCTCAGATTTTTTCACAAGACTACTCTTAGCCTTGGATGTTTTCACTCTTGAAAACAGACTTAGGAACTCTTTCCTAACTCAAAACATGCACTCTCACGTTTTTATCCCACAAGCATAAGGGTGCTGCCCATTTATAACACATGAACCAGCCTCTTTGCCTTACATTAGTTGCACTTAGGCTTAGACACTTGTCCCACACAGCCCACTATTTTAGCCTAATGTGGTTGACAACCCCTAACTACTAGGAACATGTAAAGATTTTGCCAATAATAATGGAAACATGGCCAAAGACGTGCTAACTCCCATCTGCCAGCATTTTGAACAAAGCCAACTGCTGCCAATGTGCACAGCATGTGCCGTAACCGCTCTTGACTTGGTCAATCTGAAGCTTGGTGCCCATTTTCGTGCCTTGGCTCGAATCAGGCACCAATGCCATTGTATCCAGCTGTATTGTAGCCACATTTTGCCTATGCCATTGCTCACGAACATGGCCCTTTACCGCGCCCCAATGCCATGACAAGTCTGTCCCGAGCACTGACTTCCGTTGCACTTTAGCCTGCCTTTGCCACTTCGTTTTTGCCTTGCCTTGGCATCACTGCCTCATGCCATTTCCATGATCAAGTGTCACCCCTAGCCCGCAACTCATTGTCAAGCCCTTGCCAAGCTGCCTCGCCTCCGTCAAAGCCTTGGCCATCACTTGCCCGTTTTCCTTTTTGCCTTGGTGCTACTCGTGCACCTTAGCTTGCAACACTCTCGCTGCCTCATGACAACTCTCTCGTTGTCAAGTCAAGCTCAAAGTGGCGGAGGTCTAACAAACCACCCAGACCCTTTGAAACTCGACGTCCTCGTCGAGGTTAGCTCAATTTATGAGTCCTAAGGGGTTGACAAGCAATGTCCCTTGGCCTCCCTTCTCTTCAGCTACAATTGCATTCACTCCAGCCACTTGTTTGTCGCTGGTCATTGCCTCTAATGTAGCCCTCTTGTCCGCGGCAGTCATAGCATTTAATACTGCCTTCTTCGGGCAGTCCCTTGCTCGATGTGGCCCATCACAAAGGAAACAACCACTGAATTTGCTGCCCTTCTCCTTGCTCTTTGAAGTTCCAGCCTTATGCTTTCCCTTCCCCTTGTCTTCATTTGCATTGTTATTTTCACACTTCTTCCACTCCTTTGCCTTGTCCTTCTTTTCGTCGTTGGTCTTTGAAGCAGAAATCTCATCACTCGAGTGAAAATCGCCCAATGCATCAGCCGCAGCCACAGCACTTGCGAGGTTTTGAATATTCTACCTTCACAACTCCAATTGTGCCCACTGTTGCAGCCCGCTCATGAAGTTGTGCAATTTGTCTTCTTCCGACATATTGTTGATGCTCAACATCAAAGAAGTGAACTCTTTGACATATGCTCTAACTGATCCGGTTTGCCTCAACTTTTTCAGTTTGTCCCTAGCAATCCAAGACGTATCGCTAGGAAGGAACTGATCCTTCAATTCCTTTTTAAGCCGCTCCCACGACTCAATCTCTGGTCTGCCCAAACTTTCATCTTCAGCCACACGAGTGCGCCACCATAACTAAGCACCATCACTCAAATACACGCTAGTCAAGGTTACTTTCTCCTTCTCAACTTGCACACGAATAGCATGAAAATACTGCTCCATATCCTAAAGAAAATTCTCCAATTCACGTGAACTCTTTGCACCACCAAATGCCTTAGGTTCACGAATTTCACCTTGAGACGATCAACACCACGTTGAGGAGCATCCTCGCCCGCAACACGTCGCAGCATCACTGTCTCGGCTTTCAGATCCGCATTCTATTGACTTAGCCTTTCCAATTCTGCCTCAAGGTAGGCAAGCCTTGTCACGAGAGTCTGAATTTCTTCACCTCCAGGAACATTTCCCACCAATGCCTCCAGTTTCGTTAGCCTTTCCCGCAGTTCGTTGTTACCACCGGCCATGTTCTCAAACAAGACCACGGAATCTGCCACTGTCCGTCGTGTCTCCGTCACGAACCTGCTCTGCTCTGATACCAGTTGTCACAGGCGCATTTTCAGTCCGCCGAAAACCAGCCTGCGCGGCAGCCAAGTCCCACACTTGACTTCAGCCTTCACAACACTTAGGCCCCGTTTGGCCATGAATTTTGTCAAAATACATTTGGGATTTATTTTCAAAACTCATGTTTGGCCATAAATTTTGCCCATATTTGGCCAAATCCCAAATCTCAAATTCCAAAATCAGCTATTGAGCTGATTTTGGGCCAAAATCCCAAAACTTGGGAATTATATACATGTTTTTCCAAAATAAAGCTGAAAAATATGTTTTGAAAACGTATGTCCAAACACATTTTTATCTTCAAACCAAACTTCACCCAAATCAGATTTTTCAAAATAAATTTGGAATCTATAGCCAAACGCTAGCTTAGTCAAAATTACAGCAACTTGGACTTAGAATATTTTTAGGCAGCTTCAACGTAGTAAGTTTTTGGGACTGATTTAGGCAACGAAAAATAAGTAAAGGCAACAGAAATTTAGATGAACACAAGGCACAATATACAGGAAACTCTTTTCCCAACTTTGTATTTAACTCGATCATACAAAGAAACTCAAACTCGAGGTACAATGCCGTATACAAGAAGATCACTCTTGACCCTCAGATTTTCTCACTACTCTTAGCCTTGGATGTTTTCACTCTTGAAAACAGACTTAGGAACTCTTTCCTAACTCAAAACATGCACTCTCACGTTTTTCTCCTATCCCACAAGCATAATGGTGCTTCCCATTTATAACACATGAACCAGCCTCTTTGCCTTACATTAGTTGCACTTAGGCTTAGACACTTGTCCCACACTGCCCACTATTTTAGCCTAATGTAGTTGACAACCCCCAACTACTAGGAACATGTAAAGATCATGCCAATAATAATGGAAACATGGCCAAAAACGTGCTAACTCCCATCTGCCAGCATTTTGAACAAAGCCAACTGCTGCCCATGTGCACAACATGTGCCATAACCGCTCTTGACTTGGTCAATCTGAAGCTTGGTGCCCATTTTCGTGCCTTGGCTTGAATCAGGCGCCAATGACATTGTATCCAGCTGCATTGTAGCCACGTTTTGCCTATGCCTTTACCCACGAACATGACCCTTTGCCGCACCCCAATGCCATGACAAGTCTGTCCCATGCACTGCCTTCCGTTGCACTTTAGCCTGCCTTTGCCACTTCGTTTATGCCTTGCCTTGGCATCACTACCTCATGCCTTGATGCCTTTTCCATGATCAAGTGTCACCCTCAGCCCGCAACTCATTGTCAAGCCCTTGCCAAGCTGTCTCGCCTTCGTCAAAACCTTGGCCATCACTTGCCCGTTTCCCTTTTTGCTTTGGTGCTACTCGTGCACCTTAGCTTGCAACACTCTTGCTGCCTCATGACAACGCTCCCGTTGTCAAGTCAAGCTCAAAGTGGCGGAGGTCTAACACTAAGCTATTGCTTTTTGTTGTAATGAAGATTCTCAAGTAATGAACATACCTGCGTCAACGAAAATAAGTCCTAATATTGTTATTTGACCACGCTTAACGTGTGCCCTATTTATGTTATTTGAGATTTTTACTTGGAACTCCAACCTGTGCTGTTCTATAAGATGATAAATACGCATTTGTAAGGTTGTTAGATAACATGGATGCGCTAGATGAATTTATGTCATTTGAAGTGTGTGCATCTTCACTCTTCAAGTTCTTTAGCCTCGCGGAAATGCAGAGGCAAATCATTTCTAAGATGGAACAGAACAATGTAAATTCTGCTACTTAACTCTAACAAGTCATAGAGATATTTCAATTTTCATCACAGAACAAAAGAAATTCTGTGTATTGTTTATGTTGAAATTGCACCGCTATTTATAAAACTAGAGTAGTAAAGACTTAAAAGTGAGTGTTTGGATTGGATACAGATACGTATCCAAACGTTACTTTTTGTTCTTACTCCCATGGATTTTTGTGTTTCTTTCATTTTCTTTTCCCTGGTTTGGTTTCATAGCAACGATCTTCTTGGATACAGGTTTGTAGACGTTGACCTCAAGTTACAAAAGAGTCCTAAAACATGAAGTAAGTAGACAATTATATGAAAACAAAGACCGCTTGTGAATTTCAAGAAACTGTTCGACCAAAAAGTATGACACCTTTTTGTTAAACCAATTAGATAATAAGATGTCGGGTAAATCCTAGTTAAGGATAATTAATTCTAGATCTGAGATGGAAAACATGAATAGAAGACGTAGTTGAATGTTAATATTGACCGTGATTATGTCCAGATATAATGGTATGTAAAAAGCCATGCATTAAATATTATTAAATGGCAATAAATGTAAATAGAGGAGAAGATTCACCCATTGAAGAGGGTGAAGGATTCTTTACTCTGACAATAATGACTGACACGGGTGTTTAGAGAATATTACACACTTTCTTGGATCTGATGGAAATGACAATAGAATAGTTCACAAAACGGTGGAATCTCTAAAAAAAGTGGTTCTTTATATTTTCTGAATGCTTATCTTTTACAAATGTTCTTCTCCAAAATCGAATTTCACCTTATCCCTATCTCTCCTACTNTTTGAAAGTCCCAAGGCTATACAAGCCGTTATTTCTGTT